TGTTCTTTTGCTTTGAGTTGGAATAATTTTAAACTACATAAAACATAAGCAGTGAAAAGCATTTCTTACTACATTAACTAGCCTGCGAACGCAGACATATTGCGGGCTGTCGCTTGTCTCCGCAGAAAAAAAAATAAAGTGTTATTTTGGTTTTTGGAGGAGACAAGCGACAACCAGAAATAAGTCTGCGTTCGCAGGCTATACATTAACCAGCTTTCGAACAACCTGGCTGAAATTCAGGCTAAAACTATAACCTCTTTTTATCGTGCCTTAATTCAGTTTCAACCAGCTACAAGTTCGCAGTTATTACGTCACTGATCGGAAAGCAGGATTGCTGTATTAAAAGGCAAGATATTTGTCCATCACATGAAATGGCGCAAGGATGTCAATCAGAAAATGATCTGTAGGATTTGCTTCCTTAGTTTAGTCCTTACTGTATGTATGCTCAAGATATGTAACTCGGTGTGTGAGTCTTTTATGTCAGTAAGCTTATGGAAAATTCAATAAAAACTATTAAATCACAATTAAATTACTGAGTGATATTCTACTGAGGCCCCATTGGGGGTGTCTGAGTATCCCACAGGCGTTGCAGAATATAAGCCAGATGCAAGGTTATTTAAAGTACTGGAAGGTCTGTCAATTTTCTTAGAGTTAATTGTTTACCTTCCAACTTTGAATAACAACGTCACCTAGGGAAACATTGCGTCGACTAAGCTAGCCCGATGTTTTGCCAGTGCATTCTGCAACTAATACAAGTTTCCGTGAGTTTCAAGGATGTGTAAAGCTACTTGGACGTTCAAGTGTTTTATTTTCAGATCCGATATATTGAAGAGCTTTCAGGTCCTGTTTTAATAATCCAGCGGTTTCTCAATTCCTCAAGTGCTTTTTGCATTCTTACCTCTGGATATTTTGTTTCTAAATACTATTCCCGCGTGAGCTCCACTCTTGCTGAGGTACACTTGAGCCTTCGTTCCATCGTTCGCTGTCAGCGTGTGCACAAAGCCACCCTTGCCATGCGTCCCTTTGCTGTTTGGTTGACCTGACGTTGATTGAGTTTCAAGTTTGGCACCTTTTTGCAGCGGCGCGGCTGGCACTGTAGCGGTGGTTTTGGCGGGAATTACAGCCCCATTCGTAGAAGATGACTTTTCCATCTGTGACAGGACTGTGACATCAGTTGATTTGTCTTTTTGCAGCGGCGCGGCCGGTACCTTAGCGGCGGTTTTGGCGGAAATTATAGCGCCATTTGTTACAGATGACTTTTCCGTCTGGGACAGGACCGTGACATCAGTTGATTTATCTTGTTTGGAGTTTGCCGTTTGCGATGAAGTTGAGTCTACTTTTGTGGCAGAAACAACTGGAGTTTCTGTCACGGGGGTAGGGGTTGGTACATCCCCTAGGGGTTTTGATTCATCTTCAAGCGGTGGCGACATCGTTGGTAGCGGCCCTTGCAAAATAGTAAGAGTAAATCAACGGCCTGTTTTCACTGGAAGCAAGCAAATAATATTTTTCCACTCTTTAATATGTTTTCATTTGCTCGCGTAAAAGTAATACAATCCAATAAAATCGATAAACTGTAGCCGGGAACTGACAGATTTTTGCTATTGTAAAATAACTGAGACACTACGCGCGCTTTGGTTGGTCAATGAACCAGAAGTTGGTCGCCATATAAAGCTTTTTTTTTTCCACGCAAAAATTTTACGCCAAAATCGTTTCCGCTTGAATTAAGAATTAAGGTAGTTTCTATTTTTTCAGTGTTTTCCACGGCCTGTGGAGGACGCAGTTCCCGACTACAGCTGATCAGTTTGGGTTTTTAAAAAAGAGTGAAAAGATTTCTTCCGATTTAACATTAAGCTTATCAGTCTAATCATAGAAGAAATGATTTCTACCTTATATTTTTTTAAAAAGTGTTTTTTACGTAACTCAGAAACACTGTTTTGCATCAAACTGAATCGTCTATAATCTCCAATGAAACATCTCGTTACCGACATTTCCAAAGTAGTTGCAACTATGAGATAGTTAATTATTTAATTCCCATAAGTTTGCTCTAAAATTCAAAGAAATTCCAATAAAACTCTGAATAAGAACTTGCACCATCAATGTATGCATGTCATTTCCTTAATAGCGACGTCCTACTGTGTAGGCATGCTCAAAAGTGTCCAACAGTAGAACTTTTCTGGCGTACCTCCTTCAGGGGGAACATTCCTTATAAACTCCTCAAAGTCGCCATCGTTTCCAGTGGGCCTATACCGCGCAACTGTTATGAAGCCATACCGCTTACTGACCGCGGTCCCAACACCTACTTCAGCTGTGTTGGCCCAGATCAACTGACTGAAGTGCTTGTAGGGTGCGGCGGCCGTTTTAGGACCTCCCTTATCAAAGTCATAGTTTTTCACCTCATCGTACCAGCGTTGGACCATCTCGCGACAATTGACGCAGTTGTCAACCATAGCGCCTTGGCATTTTGGAACAGAAGGTTGAAAATATGCTAAATTCTCCCCTAAATGAAGAAAAAAAATATAATTTTTTTTAAAAGGCTGACAGAGGGAATGCTTAAAATCCTGCGATTGTTGTTGTGAAATTAGCAATAGTACATACACCTCCAAAAATGTAAGTTGCGTCATGCACGTTGACACGAAGACACCTTATTTTTTTTCCGAGAACGTCTTTTACGGAACTGAAAGCTAAGCTACCACCTCTCGGAGAATAACTAAACAACCAACACTGCATAGTAGAGTAGTAAAGTCTGCATATATACGAGCCAAATGGCCCATCAGGCGGACATTTTTCTCCGATTTCTGTAGCAAGAAGCAACTAGAAGTATCTCTTCTCCCCCTATATGGGGTGTGAGTCCATCGCAGGATTACCCCCAGTATTTAATTCGCCGGTACCCATTTATACACCTGGATGGAGAGAGGCACTGTGAGAGTTAAGTGTCGTGCTCAATTCAATAACACGACACAATGTCCCCGCCTAGGGGTCTCTAATCCGGACCGCGCGATCCGGAGGCGAGCGCACTAACCATGAGGCCACCGCTCCTCCTACGTTTGCACAGTATTGGTATGAAAATCATGATGAAATAGACCATTTTCGGCGAGGCCAAATTTACGTCTACACTAAGGTACCCTACTTGTAGTTACGAGCGCTGTGTACTATGAAGGAAGGGGATGTTTTCTCAAATCGTTGCAACCTCTCTTTATTTTATTTCCCGGTAGAGAAAGACTTTTAAGCCATTCTCTCTTTCATGGCTCACTTTCTTTTTCATAAAGTTAATGCTTGAGAAAATAGTTCAAAATAGTTCCCTCAGTTGATGGGAATCGTTATTGAGCCGCCTCATGCAAAATAGCGTATTTGTCAACGGATGAACATTTGCACAAGTACTCGCCATGGTCAGGTACTCGCCAAACATCAGATTTTGCTCTAGTTTCTTTTCAGTTGGGAGTCCCTTTAGCACCATAGTATTGTTTGATATTTTTTTATCATACCGCTGCCTTCCTACCTATCTTTCGGTTTTGTATAGCGGCTTGATCGTGTTGTAATGAGTCAGTTGACGCCAGTTGGTCCGCCCAGCTTTGTGCTCCTTCGGCTAGGTCATGTGACCACATCAGCGGAGGGACACCGTGTTTGGCGCGGTAATTGTTATGTGCGTCGAGACAATCTTGTGAAAAGGCATCCAGTGAACCTCCTGAAAATAAAGCGAAGACGTCAAATAGACAGCTGGTTAAATAATTCTCTGAGTTTGTGATTCCTTGAAACCAAGAGAAGATAGGCGTATTCGGCTAACGTGTTTACATCCTTGTTGCCAGCCAATTCAGACCACGTGATGATTCATTTGGGAGGTTACAATTGTCCTGTTTTTTCATACTCCCATCAATCAGTTGCGCGTGACAATTTGCATAATTGAAACCTCGCAAATAAATTATCACGTTGTCTGGAAAGCCGAATCCGTCTATGAAGGATACAAGAGAGTTACTTCTCCGCATAGGCCTTATTTCTTAAAAA